GGTGTGCCTCGAGATTTTTTCAATTAAAACAGTGTACCTTGGCTCAAAAAAGGTTGAAAAACACTGCCATAAGCTACATAAGGATACAGCAAACAAGTGGAAGAATTTTCTGATCAAATAAAACAAAAAATCACAAATTTTCTCAGTACCTTAGCATATCAACCACAGTGAAACATGTTGTTGACAGCGTCATGCTCCAGAGGTGCGTTTCTTGAGTAGGGATGGGGAAGATGATCAATGAAAGAAGGAATTAGCTCTAAAAAAGCCAGGTTTAGAAGAAAACTTGTTAGGCTGCAGAAGACTTGAGACTGAGGAAACAGTTCGCCTTGATGCCTGAAGGCGAACACATATAGTTATTTATGGGAAATAACCATAAACCACACAGACAGAGCTACACTAGAAAGGTTCATATTAAAGCATGTGCTTGTTTTGAAATAGTCCAGTCAAAGTCCAGAAATTTAGAATCTGTGGAAACACTTAAAAACTGCTTTGCTTTGACTCTATCAAATGAGTGGTAAAAAAAAAACAAAAAAAAAACAGTCTCTACATGTTCAAAACTGGTAGGGACACGCCAGTTGCAGGTTTGCAGGTTTAAGTGCACTGATATGAGGCTCTGAAAAGCATTAGCAGAGCTGAGCTAAATACTGCATAAATGCAAGGCATCGTTTTAAAAATAAAATCTACATTAATACAAATTTAAAAACCTTGTGCCCTTTCGCTTTATGAATATGCACTATGCACTATTTTTTTGACGGTCTGTCACATAAAACACAAAAAGACAAATAAATCACCCTGAAGGTTGTGATTTTAACTAGACAAAATCCCACGTATCAGAGGTTTTATCTGAGACCAAAGGTCTTGTTTTTACAGTTTTTCACTTTTATTCTCAGATGTAAGCCCGGATACATGTGGTATTTTGTCTAGTTCGTCTAATTCAGTTGCTTTACAAATTAACTTTTTAAAGTCTAACCAGTGTAAATGCTCAGTCTTTTTACAAGTCAGCTGGAAAAGCTTCTGCACGTCTCTCTAAGCTACTGCTTAGAGACGTTCCAAATTATCCAAAAGAATTAAGATCCTTTTAAAGTGAAAATCGTTTCCTTTTTCTTAAGCGCCAACTGTGTTAAGCAGGTGACTGGTTTTTATTTCAGAATGTTTTCTAAGCCTTCTTTAATTTGAATAATGATGCCGGTATGGTCTCACCGTGATTAATTAGAACTTAGTTGGATTGCAGGAAATTTGGAAAACCTTATTTAGAGAGAAGGCAAATCTGGCACTGCTAAAGTGTGCCTGCCTAATTTCCATAACCTTAAGATGCCTTCCTGTGACTGTGACCTCACCACTCTCTGTTTACAGCTAGTATTTTACTATGATGATCCTACCCAGTTGGTCAAAGACTGCACCACACCCACAGCTGCAGCCCTAAACGACTCTGTGGGAGAGCACTGGGATGCAGCTGCGCTAGTACATGAAAGGAGATAAGTCGCCTCGACTCAAGGCCACTATGGTCACTGCTAAGTCATAGCAGTGTAGATGAGCCTCATGTCTTGGATATGCTTCTTCTGCTGCCACAAGTCTCCACCACAAACCAAGTTTATATACGATTTCTTAGTATTTTGTAGATTTGGTTTTAAACTGTGTGAGTTAGGTCAAAAGAGCCGGGTATTGTTAGTTAAATGCCAGGATAATGACAGAATTTGTTTACTTTCTTCAAATGGTTTCTATGCGAAAGAGCAGAGGTGTGTAAGTATTTAGGATGACGGCTTTGTCAGCTTCTAATTTACAACATTTCAGTTCATTTGTGGCCCCACATGCAGATGAACAGGAGGGGCCACACAGAAAAACATGCATTAAAAGTATAAGGAAATGCAAATGGCTAAATATATTATCATCAGGCAGAATTTTAATGCATGGTGCCTTAAGTATTATAGCCCGATAAATATTTAATCTGTTAGGTAATTTGTGATTGCAATATTGCACATGTTCTTGTTGCAATAGGGACCGTGAGTTGACATGGATGTGATTGGTTGTATATATACATATTGGTTTATATTATAAATATACAAATTGAACACCGCCTTCTAGCTGATAGATGAGTGGATTTCTTCCATAAAGCATTGCATGCAGTCATGGAAAAGGCGTTGACGTTACAGCGACGAGATGTAACAGATAGGACTTTAAAGGGTGAGTTGTCTTGGAGAAATATCCAAGGCAACGAAAGAGCCCAGAACTGAATGCAAAGTGTGCAACTTCTTGTCATCTGTCAAACAAATTAATGCAAAGCAATGCAAAATGTTGACAAGTTGTTTGAAAGGTATAGGTGGATCCAGAGTGGCTGGTTGGATCTTCTTCTCTGTGGCTTTAAGCAGAACAGCTGCAAAGATCTGAAGGACACAGCCGATTGCTTATTTTTGTGCGATGGCCTCAAGGTTTTCCCAGAATTTAAGAATAAATGTACCTAGTAATGGACCGTCTTCCTGAATTTTCTTTACGTGACATTTGTTCTTACACAGAAGATCCCCATTTGAGGTTGACAGTGAAAATTTTTCTAGGTAACTGTCCTGGTGACCTGGACAAGAAAACAGGATTTAAAAAGTCAACACATAGCACAGGTGCTATTTGTAGCATCATAAAAGTATTTTTCCTCTGAGGACAAAACTACAAAGTATAAAAACTTTGTACCCTGGCAGTGACTTGTTTCCTATAGTGCAGGACAACAGCACAACGAAGTGATGGCTCAGGCATCTCACAGTTGCACTACTTTTGCCTTAATTGTTTGGGAAAAGCAATGAAAAGCTTTATTATTCACACTACATCCCATAGTTTTATATTAATTTACATAAAAATTAATAGAGCAAACTCAGCTGGAAATATATAAAAAAGCACTTCTTTCTAAATGTTGAAACATCATGTCACCAATTAAAACGTTTCACAAGATTTCAACAAATACTGCGGCTCTTTTCTGGTTATTCTTCTGTCTTTTTTCTGTTGTTTTATTAGTAAAAGGGTTTAGATCAAACATTAGACACAGTCTGTGGTTTATGCTGCTGTCCAGAAGGAGAAAGCATGAGTGGACTGTGGCAATACAAATTCCCAGACCATTCGTTTTGACTGGAAGTGATGATATGGCTCCTCGTTAGAACTTCACTTCACATCTTTACCAGGGCCTAAAATACACAAAACACAAACCTACTTGATTAGTGGCTATTATATCTAACACATCACAGATTTGACAGATAGCAACACTCCTCAGTTAGTTAAAAACTAAACTCAACTCATTTGTACCTCATTTAGACTGTTTTTTTCTGTATTGTAAAAAAAAAAAAAAGTAGTCTAGTAGCTCAAGTAGCCTAGGACCTCAGCTTCTCTGAATAGCTGATGGCAAAATACAACACAGGGAAATCTGCTGTTGGCAAAGAAAACATCTACACAAAAGCTAAAATGGGAGAACCGACAAATCTATTGAGATGTGATTTCTCTGAGCAAATACTTCAAACTGTTCTTTATATAATCTTCTACATAAACAACGTTACAACCGTAATATTAGAAAATGTAAAATGAATAGTAGAACTGAACACCTGGCAATACACAGTAGATTTAGGTTTAGGGTTTGCACCAAAAGTCATTTAATCTGAAAATCAGCCAATAGGCCAATGGTGGCGCTGGGGGTGATGTCTCAAAGCGTAGTCAGAGAATAATTAAATTGCTTAGATCAGGGTGTCAGACTTTAGTTTTCGAGGGCTGCTGTCCCGCAACATTTTGTCCAACACACCTGAATGCAAGGACAGAGACCCGTGGGTGAGGTGTGTGGGACCAGAGATGCATCTAAAAGTTGCTGAAGGCCTGGAGTTTAACAGCTGTGGCTTAGATCAAAGAGTATGCATGTGATAGAAGGGCCATGCTGAAATCCAGTGGGGCAAAACCTGGAAAAACTCAAGTTTTTTTTAAGGCACTGTTTTGTCTGATGAACTCAAGCTCTTGAACGCTAACAAAACTTTGTGACACATTGTAATTCATCACACCACTAGAGTGCAGTGTTGAGCACCCATTTTTGTGTGCAAGCTGCATTAGGCCTGTGTATATGACCATGTATTTGATACATTTTAAGTCTCAATAAGAAGCAGAGCTGCTTTTGGGTTAGGGCTTTGGATTAGGACTAAGATGTGAGTTGAGTTTAGGGTTAGGCATGTACTGGCAGTGGTTCGGTTTAGGATAAGGGCCGGGTCTAGGCTATTGAAATGGATGAAAAAAATGGATGGAAGTCAATGCAAAATTCTACATGTGAGAGGATGTGTGTGTAGGTGTGCATGTGTGTGTGTGTGTGTTACCTATCCTGCTGAGGAGATTTTTCCGGGCCATAACAAAGGCCAGGATGTCAGAATCAACTTCCTGATCTCCAGTCAGTGGAATGGAAGAAGACGTGAGGGTTGTTGTGGAAAGGTCCCTGAAACGTACTTGTGATTACTCCAACATGCCAAGGGTTGAAATTTGTCTTTTTTAAAAACGTGGTCATGTTTGTTTTGGAGCAGGCACAAAAACAAGTCTTCATGTGACCCCTGCATGAAACATGTAAACTGTTCACGGAGCAAAATTTAAAGCAGAAACTTTGACAGAGAACAGCTCCTTGTGTTCCAGAGCCTCGCTACAGAACAAAAGTGGGTCTGTGCTGCGAGAGTGCTTGTTTAAGAGGAAGCATATACATATTACAGCGAGTGTTTAACAGTGGCTGTAAAATGGAGCTTTCAGCATCTGGGTTAAAGCGAGACTCTTTTGATTTGTGAACACGACTCGCAGACGTTACTTCACAAAGACATTAAAATTTATGACGGCTCTCGTAAGTGAAGAAAAAACACAGAACAGCTATAAAATCTGCAGGTCTGGGCTGAATGTATGGATTTAGGAGTCATTGTGGGTGTGTATGAAAGTATTAATTGAAAAAATTAGGCAAAAAAAAAAGAGGCTTAATTTCAGTTAGTAAAAGTCGCAGCTCATTCAATAGATGCCAGAAAAATCAATTTCCCAAGTTAAACTATTTCAGTCTTCTAATTAACGTTTCAATTGAAGCAAAAATTGGTTCAAATCATATATTCTGGATGCTTTTTAGGTCTGTGATAACCATCTGGTTAATGTACCTCCAGTATGAATTCTTACTCTCCTCTTGGGACTTGTTCCAGGCTGACCAAACTGGGGCTGGAAGTTTGTCTATGGGTTCAAGACAGCTGAAAGTAAGACAAATTGAGTTATTTCCACTCTCAGCTTTTTTATTTTATTTTTTTTACTTTACAAACTCCAATGCAGTACAATCTAAACATACTTTCCTGAAATAAAAGAAGAGATAATTAAGAACTGACTGACCTCAGTTCAGGAGCAGAAGAGACCGAATGGTCCGGATTTGTGTCCTGCTTTGACGGAGACTCCTTCATTGTGCTGCTTAGCTCAGGAGAGCTGTGGAAGAAAGCAGAGCCTTTCATAAAGACAGAGATAACGTCAAAGTAATACCACAGGTTTGTGTTTGAAACATGGAAGTTATCCGTGTCCTCTTCTTTATACCACCAGATGGAGCTACAGCATAAAGCAGCCAGAACGTTTCTTTTGCAGGTTCATCAAAATTCTTGATTACTTTGGGCCCTCTTGTAAGTTTCTTCCAGGCTTGTCCTGCATTCAACTCAAGTCCTCTTTGGCCATGTAGAACTAGAGAAACATTCCCACAGCGGTATGGTGCCCCCATCATGTTTAGTAGTGGGGATTTTGTGTTAAGGGTGATGATCATTGTTATTTTTTTTGCCACAGAATGTTTTGCATGTCGGCCAAAAAGTCCAGCTTCGGGTTTTCTGACCAGAGCCCATTCACCCACATGTTTGCAGTGTACCCTACATGGCTTGTGGGAGATTTTACAGGATTTCTTATGGCTTTCTCCTTCCAGCTTCTTTATAGAAGTCAGAATTGTGGGGTGCGCCAGCCTGGCAACAGATGCAGCTTCTGCACAGCTACAAAAGCCCTCCTGAGTGCTTCTCTGATTAAAGCTTCCCTTCGAAAATGATGTATCCTTTTCCGTTCACTTCACACACATTGTGAACATACGCTGAAGCTTGTGGTTGGAAAATGGAAAAAAATGGAAAAAAGTAGTTTTCAAAATTGTGATGAGAATGATTTGATTCCTCTGTTCAGCTCTGAGCGAGCTTCAAACTATGACACATGTATTAAGTGCAGTTTGCAGAAGGAATTTACACTCGATGTGGATTCTGCAATTTCTTTGTTCTTTCTTTCTAGTTTTTTCTTATTTCAAAGTGAAAATAAGAGAGAAACGGGAGCAAATAAAACTTAACGAAATAGACAAAACCTTCCTGGTTGCATTGTGTCAGCAAATAAAGTAGCATATTGTAAAACGGCCATATGGTAGTAAACACTCGCCAACAGCAGACATGAGAGGAATCATTTCCAGGGCAGTTTCTGTGATCAGTCTCGGAGGAAAGCGTTGACAAACTCTGGGCTCTTTCCCTCACTGTGTGTGCATTAATAACTGTCATCAGAGTTACTGTAGATTTAAGATGATAAATACGGGCTGTGATTATGTTGTGAATGTCCTCTGGCTGACGGCGTCACAGATGGTGAAGCAAATGCACACAAACGCCTGAAAGTGATGACAAATGTTCAATGTCTGTTCCGTGCAAGCCAGCAATCAGAAGCACGTCATTGAGTAATCAACTAATTATGAAAGGGTAAACATTAATGTATTTTGTAGAAATGCGTAATTGACAATTGTTTTTTTTTTTTCATGCAACTTGTGACTTACAATTAATCTCAATTTAAATTTAATCAGAAGGTGTATATTTTTGAAGGTATTTAAATGAATGAATGAATGAATGAATGAATGAATGAATGAATATACTTTATTAATTCCAGATGGAAATTCACATCTCAGTACAGTTCATGAAGTAACATATATTTGGTTGTCCTAAGTTTTTTTTTTTTTTTTTTTTTTTTTTTAATTCAACACATTCTTCCCTATAATTTTTTTCAATTTTGGGCCTGAAAGGGCAAAAAACATCATTTCAGAATTTAAGAAAAAAAAGTTTGTCACTTCTCCAATTCGGACAAAATGCCAGCCAGCTTTCCTATGTTGGTCTCCGTGAATTTAAAGGAGATGTGGATTGCAGCTGGTTATTTGTCCAAGGATTTCCTCAAGGTTTAAAAACAAACACTGAATAAAAAAAAAAAAAAAAAAAAGAGGAGTGGATAATTGTCTTGCTATGTGCCGAAAATCAGCTGCAAAGAAAACAATGAAAAGAACAGAGATAAAGGAAGACTTTGGTTGTGTAATAATCCGCTGTCGTTTGACAAAACCACATCACTGATTCTTCATCCGGAATTTCAAAAATGTAACAAAACAAGTAAAAGAGGCTTTTGAGACCTGTAAAATCATTCTCAATACTACTAATTGGTAGAAAAGCAAAGAGTGCATATATAAAAATATAGCAGAAAAGGTCTTACCAAAATCCTGGAGTGCCAGGTGAAGATGGTTGCAAGGTTTCATTTTGAGATGTAGAGCCATATTTCGCTTCAGTTTCCGACTCAGACTCCTAATAAAAATATATTTTTTAAATTGCTGAAACATTTCTACAACAACTGTCAACAAAAACAGCCCGACAGAATAACATGAGCATGCTACATACATCTGACAGATTAAAGAAAGCACCTCTGATGCTTTACTGCTCTGGTTCGTCATTTAGCAAACGCAAAGTTTAAGCAAGTGCATGTGTGCGTCTAATACTGGATCAACGCTGTTGGGCATAAACTGGTGAGAAAAACACTCAGCTTTGTGAGGCAAAGCTGCTACACTTCCTCATCGTCCGTCATTCAGAAATTCATATCCAAATGTTGCCGAGATAAAAGAGAGAGACGCTCCTATCTCCATTCATAAGGTCAGCGGAATTTGCTCCTCAGATGTTCTTGCTTTACATCTTTGTTTTGGCTGGTTGCCTGAAATGTGCTCAGCAGTTGTCCAGGCTGAGCAAAGCGTGAGTTATCAGACTCCTCACTGAGTCAGTGTTACAACTGAATCCTTTGCCAGCCGTCCTCTCCGCAATCTTTTTCTATATTAGACTAAAATAGACTCTGACTCATGTTGTTATCCACTCTGTTAGTGTTTGAGTCACATGGAATTCAGGAAAAATAAATAAACAAATGCATCTCTGTTTGCCTCCTATTCTTTCTCCCACTAAGTCCCATTTAGCCTTTGTGACAAACAAGAGGCAGCAATCGACACATTTGTCCGGTGGTGTACATGCTAAGTGTCAGCACTGCTCAAAACACCAGTATGGCAAGAAACACAGTTCATAAAGAGAAAAACATAGATACAAACCTAGCATGAGAATCACATTTTTGGTTGTTTCATTCTGATCAGAGCAGATTTACAGCTCCTAACACATTTTTTCATAAACCTTGAACTTTTTCACACTTTGTCTCAAAGTATTAATGTCCTTCCATTTGGATACAAATTATTAATTTTAACAAGCATAATATTGGTGCCACTGTTATTTTAGTTCATTGTGTGTATGCATATTTAAAATGTTTGGAACTAAGCCTCAACAGGACTGCCAGCTCTGCACCAAGCTCTACATCTAAGCGCACACTAGTTTGCCTGCTGGTCTAAAACAAGTTTTTTTTATTTGCCATTTTTGCTTGACCCCTGCCCTGACCTGAGGTCATATGATTCTATAGTCGTCTTTCTTTTATTTGACGCTTATCGCAACACAGTTGCAATGGATTTGTATTTAGAAGTGTCAAATTAAACATGGGGTGAATACCTATGCATTTATATTTCCAAGGTCCTAGTTGTGAAAAGTTTTGAAAACTCTGCATTAGTGTTTTTTTTTTCAGCCACTACAGTTACACACGACATTGTGTTGTTGTTTTTTTTTTTTTTTTTAGTAAAAATATACGGACGTTTGTGGTTTTATTATGACATAACATGAAAAGTCCACGGGTATGAACACATTTGCAAAAGGCACGGTGAGATGAATTATCACAAGGATAGAAAAGAGGCCAGTCACCTGCAGATTCAAAGCCTCCTGACTCCACCACTTCAGGAAATCCTTCTGGATCTTGACCTTCACCCTGTCCATCAACAGCTGCAGATGCTCGATCTCTGTCCTCAGAGCCTTTAGGCGGCCAAGGTTGCTGTTGTAGCTGACAAGGGATATCAGCAGTGGAAAATGTATCTTTAGTTGTCGTTACACAGCACCTGCTGCGTTCAGTCAGACCAAGCAGGGTCTTTTGGAGGGGTGGGGAACTGTAATAACATTCGGTAAGTTATTTGAGACAACTCACGTTACTTTCTCTTGCTTAATTTGTTTGCAGAGGCTTTCTTCCAGGGGGTCGTTCTCCTCCCCGTCCTGCGTATCGTTCCCTGTCACAGCTATAAAGCAATTCAATTTAAACATGCAGATATTTAGAAATTTGCGTCCAGAAGTAGAATGTAAGTAAAATGTAATTTATGAGCTCTTCCATGAGGTTGAGATTTAAACTAACAAGAAAAGCCCTTTGACGTCAGAACCAGAGGAAAATGTTAGCTTTATGACCAAATTTTCTCATCAAAGCGTCCATGTTAACAGATCAAAACCATCAGAAGAGGAGCTAACAGAGTGTAGTTTCGGTATTCAAGCTTGCAGTCACTGAGGCCTTCTGTCAAAGCTTTGAAGTGGCCACTAATGCACACAAGACAAAAGCAGCCAGAAAGTTCAGGGTTTCCCATCCTTTCGGGAGTGACGAGTTTAGAAAAACGATAAAAAAAGATGTTCCATTTGTCAAAATTTATACACTGATGTAACATCAGTGTATAAATGTTCAAAGGCGATTCGTCACATGGTCAGGGGAAAAGCTGACATCAAACTCATACGATCATGAAACAACTCCTCCGCCCCATGCCGGATCCTCCACCATACATAACAGTGGGCATGTGATGTTTTTCTGCTTCTTCATTCTGTGTTTCACGCCACACACATCTAGAGAGGTTGTAGCAAAAAAATAAAATAAAAATAAGTTGAATCTTTCTGTGCCAGGAGGACATGCTTCAGTTAAAGGTCCAGTTTAGAAAACCTCCACATCTACATTTGTGAATAGAGGCTTTATTGTGGCCTTCTCCTAAACAGACGGTTTACATGACTTGGACAGACTCTGATGAAGGCCTGGTGCCACCAAGATGCAGCTGCTCTCTTTCACTGAGCTTGTCGACTTTATTAACCATTCTTATCCTTGTTTGTCACAGTTAAAGTATTTTAGAACTTGTTTTTTTTTTTTTTTGCTCTAAATGTAAGAATGGGAAGGTTTATAAAATAATATATTTACCTGACCTTACATCTGCTTCACATGCATCGCATATATTCTTTTTAAATTTGAAGGATGGCTAGAATGAATTTGCCTCTATTTTAAATCGTATGTATAGCCCAGAAACAAAAGAGATCACTGATTGCAAAACACAAATTAAAATTAACTCATGTTAGTTAATTCTGACTAATGTTCAAATCAACATAAAAAAAAAAAATGTTTTTATATTTACGCAGTAGATGTCTACGGTATAGGTTGCATAATAGGTCTGTTCCTGGCAACACCATTAAAATTCCCTTTTTCCTACTGGGGATTTCCTTCCCCACTACATAACTGTACATAGAGCTTACTGCTGGTGGAACTATCTACAGAAGCTCTAAAGAAAGTGCATAGGTTTACGTGTATGTTAAACATTGTGCAGGTTGAACATACACGTGGGTTATCTCGTTCAATCATGTACGTTTTCATCTTCATACCCTGAGCTGCCCTTTGTCTCCTCCGCGTCTCCAATTGCTTCTTCAATTCAGCTGAAGACAAAGAAGAATGAAGACAAAAATATGTGAAATTTTCAACATTAAATGTGTTTTCAAATGACCTTTTTACATAATCTCTTTTGTAGCCTGTAAGAGATACTGAACGGGAAGCTGAAAACAAAATCAGTTTGTGGGGACAAACCCGCAGCAACACTTGAAGCCTCTTCAAGAGCATTTCTGCACTTTCCTCAGTTTGTGATTTTAACAGATATCAAGGTTTAAAAAACTGCAATTATTTTTCATCACATTGTTCTTTTTTTAATATTTCAGCTTTTGACTGAAGAGCATTTTGGTTCAGAAACCAAAACTAAATAATTTTGGCTTAGAAATATATTTTTTTAGGAAAAAAATATTTAGTTTTAGAACTAAAATTTTCGGTAAAATTTTGTAGAAGTCCAATATGGTGAACTTAAATTATGGAAAACTATTTATTTATTTATAGTATTTATTAGTTATAGACAGTAGAACGACGATTGGTGTAGATTCCTAGTCATAAAGATTAGGACAATTAACCAGTCCTTATATAATGAGATAAATGAACTTTTGTTTGTTTTTTTCTTAGTGTAATCCTTAGCTGATGGAGTCTATCTGCTTCAAGGTTCAACATCTTCAAAGACATTCTCTATACGTCAGTAGCAACAACCATTATCTGTGTTATTGTTGGGTTTCTATCACCTCAAACAAGTCAGACCCTGACACCAACATAATTTCCACTCACTGGAAATAATTTCTGGGCCGTTCTCTGTACGCTTGTGAGATGGCTGTGTGATCATCTGGGTAGATCAGCAGTTTCAGAAACACTTAGGCTGGTCTGTAAAGCCCCAACAGACATGGCCTGTTCAAACTCACTTAAATCCCCAGTGCTTCCCAGTTCTGATGCTCAGTTTGAACTTTGCCAAATCGCCTTCATCACGTTTGGATGAGTTGCTAGGTCGAGAGTGTCTGTAGCTATTTGTGCAAACAACGCCAGGAATAAGCATGAAGGGGAGGTTTGGGTTTTTTGGGGGTCACAAACAAACAGACATGAAGGGTAGAAGAATGGTAGTGTCTGTGATTTTCTTTAACAATCCCTTAGGTCTTATACATAAAAACTGCTCAGTAATTGAGCCCTGCAAAGTGATGCTATGTCCAATCTAAAATCAGAGGTTTAAGCTCCATAGATGAGAAATCCAGATGAAGTCCTCTCTTGAAAAAGTACCTTTACACTGAATACCACCCATGCTGTCCTACAATAGTTGGATTGAAGTGATTCTAAACCCACAAGGATTTTGCATTTAGTCAGCACTTTCTTTCAGAAAGCTTTAAAATTGTTTGCAAAATCCCAGTGCAACCAGTTTGTCTTTCCAAGCGCATCACGAGCACTTTCGTTCAAAGTCAACCGCTTTAGGGGTTTCTGTAGACAGCAGAGACTTGAACAGATGAAGTGAAACATTATACAGGACACACAGAGTCATATGGTGCCCGTGACAAGACTGTTTTTCCAAATGGTTATGAGGTATGAGGCAGAGTTTGGGATCCTCTCATGAAGCCATGTATTTGGGTAGCCGAGAATGTAAATGATCTGAGACGCCCTGTGGCTTCATTTTGTGGTCAGGTGGGTAGCCTGGGTCTTCTCTTACAAGCACGACACTCTAAAACACGCCTACTGATGTCGAGTCTGCGTCTTCAAAAGAACATTAAAGGATTAAGGGATGTTTAAACCCCTAAGAGGGGAGTTCATAAAGACATGATGAGCGCACTGTCTGTGTTGTTTAAATCCATCATATCATGTACATAAGCATTTCAGAATCCCCAACACTGAGATCAAAACAAAGGAACCACAGTGGGAAATTCCTGTGATCTACTTTTACGTAGTGTAGTAGTTGTGGCCGCAAATCTGTAATATCTGACAATTCCTGCGTGCTGGCTTTGTGGAGCAGTAAAACGCAGTCGCCAGACAAAGCACCACAGATTCGACTTTAAATGCAACTGAAATCCTGGCAGTAACCTCCTTCTATAGCCGCCGCTTTATATGACCAAAAAAAAAAAAAAAAATGCACTGCATCTGCAACAAAGTGAAAGAGTTGATGAGAACCGCATGCATAATATAAAACGCTTTACACTCCTGGAAAAAAATCTAAACTGAGCAACGCAACAAATCACCTGTTGATAAAGAACAAGCAGAAAGTGTCCACTCAGCACATACAGAACTGGGGAAAAACCTGTTTCTCACAATGTCCCTTTTGTTTTTGTCACATTGCAACTGAACTTTGTTGAATCAAAGAATTTTAAATATATTTTAAGGGCAAAGTCTCACTGAATGGTGGTTCCTAAAATTCCTGATGTTTTATTGATGCCATTTTTCTTTTCTATTTTATATTGAGTTGTAATGAAATTTACCTGCATTAATAACACTGAAAATAATTGGTGGTTGGTTGAATTGTTTTACTAGTGTGGCTCTTTTGCTGCCAAAATGAAGAATAAATATTGAAAAGAATTTGATATTTTCCCACTGTACATATGATGCAATATCATAAGTGCTTCAGAGAGGACACAAGATTCCACCTAACCAAATTAAGTTTTTCTCCATAGCATATGGTAAGGGTTATCCTCTTTGAAGACAAGCTTTAAGCTATAAGTTTCAATAAATACCCACATTTTGGTGGCATGATGCTTGAATGGGATTTAAAGTATGCCATGAGTCAAGGATCTAGATCAGCTTCTGATGTAAACAGAATGAAATATTGTTTACACCAAGAAAACAATACATCAAAAGATCAACATAGTAGTAAGAAAAACCTACAGGAAAAGTTTACCAATGTATCTTGACTGCAACAAATATCACATATCAAAAGAGAGGAAACATAAAATGTTGTTTATACTAAACCAAAAAACTTTTACTAAACAGTCTCTGTTTTTTGTTGAATAGCTGTGTTTATAACAGCTGTACATGAAGACTTTATGCAAAAACAATTGTATTTGCAACATGAGTAGTGCATAAATCATAACACTCATGCAAAATCTGGTTTATTATCTCAATCTGTGACGCATGGCGGCTGAAATAGTCACAGTGTGGCTAAATATTTTTGTAACCTTTCCTTACTTTGTTATTTTTGCCGTTCCGACATCGTCATCTCTCAAAGTGTCTTTTTGATGTTTTTCGTCAGTTCAGGGGGAATAAAGTGTATCTTTGTAAAAGGCTGAGGTAGCAAAATCCCCAAAGACCCAATTTACAACCACAGCATCCTATATAGTTTAATGGGATTTTATATGACATTCCAACATAAAGTGACGCATAATTGTGAGTGGAAAGGACTAAGATCGAATTTGTGGAGTGGACACGTATTGGTTATGCCAGCATTTTGAAAACCATACACCATTTCCCATCTATCAATTATGCATTACTGTATGTTGGTCTGTCAAATAAAATTCAAATATAGTTTCTGAATGTAACCTGACAAATTGTGAGGATGATTAAATGGTGTCATTGTTTTTTCAAGGCCCTGTAAAACTATCTCTAACTGCATAATTAATCAGTGAAAAAGCCAAGAGCCAGAATGAAACATTTAGAAGGCATGACAAACTATTGATCAAGACCCTGTAAAAAAAGAAATGTCTAGCACACTGGAAAGAAAAAAATAAAATAAAGGAGGCTCTTACATGATATATTTTTTGATAATGATATATTTTTTGAAACATCTTGGGCTTAAAGGTCATTTATTTAAAGGTGAGCTGAGTGTATTACCTAAAAGATACCAGATGCTTTACCTAAGACCGCGCTGCATAAATCCTCTAACATCTGGCCAAATAATCAGAAGATGCTGCTTGCTTCCAGCTGCCTTCCACTTTTTATACTGCAGAGGACGCGTATCGCTGATCTTTCTGAGCAAATACATACACATGCATGCACTCTCTGAACCGAGAGGCTCAAAATGTATCTTCTTCCAGTGGGACTGGATTCCAGAGCTACGTGTCGTGGCCAAGTACAATAGAGTAATGTTTAGACACTGATGTTTCCTCGCGCTCCCATCTCTCTTTTTATCCCCTGCTACCGACCCTCCAAGCTGGGTATGTCCAAAAGCAAAAGAAATTCACTATATTACATAAAATTTTTCCACGGTGCACATTACGCATAAAACATAGGTGGCTAACAGCGTCCAAGCAGGGCTTCCAAAATGACAAAGAAGCTTTGAGTTACCAGCCAGAAGAAGCAACACTTTTTTTTGATTAAAAACAGTGTCTAATGCAGGAAGAATGCAGTTCCATCAGTATGATAATGTAGTAATATTCACAGCCTAAAGATGGTTTTGAGACAATTTTTTGAAAATGACATTTTTTTTTTTTTTTACATTTCAATCATACAAATGTTTATCTTCATTTTACTTTACTGTGTGTGGGTCAATGGAGGAACAAGGGTTACTAAACGCTGTCATACTTGATTTCTTTGTGATGCACAACAAACATGGCCACGTCAGCACTTCTTGGGGCGAAAGGAGGAAAACAATAGACTGTAGGGGTGACAAACATGGTGGCATATATGAGGGTGACGGGCACAAACTGCCAAACCACTGAGAGTGATCCAAGGCAGGGATGAGGCGTGGTCCTGCTGTAAACAGATCTATTTTATTGGTGTGTGATGTCAGCCACAAACACACATGAGTGGATGCATCACAAGAGTAAAGGGAAACTTAAAAATTTACTTTTGTTTGTAAGAGAAAATGTAGCCCACATAAAACTCTAATTCCATCCCACCTACTGCACAAATTTGCATCAGACAACAACCTACTAAACTTGTCTTCAGATGTCTCCGAGTGTTTCTGTGGAAACAGCTTAGACACTATTAACTAACCAATCAATCAGGATCTTCTTTTCTATCTAATTTAGTAAAAAAAAAAACAAAAAAAAAAAACAAACTTATTTTATGGTTTTTAACCACTGTGTAATGCCGAAGCCAAATTAAGATGTCTGTTGACAATGAAGATTATTGTTATTATTGTAATAAGCAGCTGACAAACTATTGTGAATGTGGGGAAATTTGGAGAACTTCTTTGCCTTTTAACGCTTAATTTCATTGAGGTTTATTTGTTCTGCCTACAGTCCCACCACAGCACATTAAGTTTGAGGTTTGGACTTTGAAGTATGTTGATTTTTTTGCTTTTTCAGCCAATCTCTGTTATATCTGCCGCTGTTTTAGGCATACTTTTTGCTGTTGATCTAGTTTCGATCAAGCTTCAGACATCCGACAGATGGACAGATTACTCTTGAATACTTTGGTATAAAAAAAACTCAGTACCAACAACGTGTCCAGATCTTGTGGCTGCAAAACAAGCCCATATCATTACCTCTCCACCAGGGTAAATTGCTATAAGGCTTTTGTTCTGACATGTTGGGTATTGTTTGTTAAAAACGTAATGACGTGTCTTATGCCATTTTCTTTTTAGAAAGAAGAGCCTTATTAATGCTTCTAAACAAGCTGTTCTTATTCAGTCTTTTTCTAACAATTCAGTCAGGAATAACTTCTGGAGGCCTCGAGAGCATCGCATGTAGCTTTTGGGGCTTTCATCTTTTCTCTGAGCATTGAAAGGGTTAATCTTGGAGTAAGTATACCGAGGTGTCAAATCTTGAAAATGTGATTTGAAAATTTGTTTTGTTCTGCGTTGTAGAATAATTCATGTTTTAACCCCTCCCAGACTGATGGATAGGAACTACTGCTTCTTTGTGATCATTGTTGAGGTCTTACCTATTTGGACTTATTGTTATCGCACACACCCAACTGCTCCACACTAAACAACTACCAAAACTTCTGCTTTTACAGAGGAGCTCACAAAGATAATGAACACTACATCAAGTCCATCTGGTAAGGAAAGATTGTATTTGTCATCTTATTTTTATTTTTTTTTTTTTAAAGAAGCAATTAGAATTTTTTTTACGAAATTCTTTTGCATTTGCATGTTTAGTCCTAAGAATGAAAAACTGCATCCAAAAGCTGTTAAATTTTACATTTACCTAGTATTTAGAGAAAGAACTGTAAAATTAGGCCACTGTACTACCATTGCATATAGCTTTACAAGAAGTACATGTGTTAACAAATCGCAGCAGAGAGACTGTGAACGTCTTTGGATTCATTCACATTGCATTGCAAATTAATGCCAGGAATCATTTTGGCTTAGTTAAGTTAGTGACTATCAGGAAGAACTCGGGGGAGCTCTAACAGAATCGCCATAAAACAGCCTGAGATCGACTCGTAAAAAGCACAGGTTGGAAGCCCGCTATAAGTGGATGGAAATTTGAATGCCTCCCAGTTCTGGGAAGGCTTAGGAATGCTGTGAAAGATATTCTGACGCTCGAGGGACTCAACAGTGATCTGGTGTTGATGTTTTTTGGTTGGGTACCACAGGAATAACACTGAGAGCAAATTGTAGACGTGAAAGATGTTCACAGCTAAAAACTGTAATGTAATATCTACAGAAGAACTTCCAAATGTTGAGAGAACTCACTGATTCTGTTTCTGGCTCCCTTTAGTTGTTCTCCAAGTCTTCTGGCCTCATCTGACCTGGTCAAAAGAAGAAGCCAAATCTTTTTTTACACTAAATTTAATGAATGGAAAACTACAATTAAGGAAATAACCAAGGGGTGTGCTTTGAGGTGCAATGATTATGAAAAAGGTGAAATAAAATTATATGTTATCATGTGTTTGCAAATTTACTGTATCAGAAGGAATCTTAAATGCAAGCAGAAGCCATATAACACTGTGGGAGGAATATCTTGTTCCTTTTGTCACTCACCTTTCTTTGAGTATATTCGAATTCTCTTCAATGGTTTGATGTTCCTCGTGATCTCTTATGAAAATCTCAAATGCTTCCTGTTTTCCCATTGACAACTTTGAACCTGAGGAGATAAAAATCTGTACTGAAACAC